GGCTTCATAGAAAAGAAATACAGTTTGCTCTACCACCATGTATAGTGTAATAAAGCACACTTTCGCCCTGACCTATTATAGTTAAAGCACGAGGACGCTTGCGTCCGAGTGCTTAAACGTTATAATAGTTCAGGGCGAAAGTGTATTTCATAACACTATACATGAAGGTAGAGCGAACTGTATTTCTTAAACAACACACAGTTTTGATAAGTTAAGAAGAGTTTTTTGTGTGTATATATTATCAATTTATCGGTAATGAATAGACACACTTCTTGCAATGCACATATTCTTTTGATCTACAAAAGAGATTTGTTCAATTCTTACCTATTCTCGGTCTTTTTAATCACAGCATTTCTCTTTTCTGTCACATTGCCGTGAAATGTCAATGTCAAGGCCATCTTGATAAGGGAAGTAACTCCTGTTTATTTCCTAGGTTTATTTTCAGTTTGTGAGATGACGCATAATGAGAGTTCAAGTCATGATTTTCATTAAAAAAAATAGGTACAATGAAAGCTTTTTTGCACATGTCTTTGATATCCTTATTGCTGTTTTGGCAGACTTTCAAACTCTGAAGTAAAATTGTTATCGCCTTGTCAAAAAATGAATGGGAGAAAAAAGTAAATTACTTCCAATCTGATACCAGAAAAAGTACATTTGCCAGTAACTAGGTACAACCATGCCTTGTCAAAAACTTCAAAACTACTATAATGTGATGAGAATATCGAATAATTTCTTCTAGATCTACTAAATCCATCAAAAGCTGAATTTCACCGCTTTCAAGCTTTTTACTTCGATTTCTAGTCTTACCATTTATGTTGTAAACATTTTTATGGAATGAACATGGGTAATATTTAGGGGAATCCCCAACTTAATACAGGTTTTTCTATCTCACCTACTGAAGAGCTCACTATCCTAGCTAGGATAGGTAGCACAAGTTAGGACAGGGATAGGATCGTTTCGAGAATGGGTCTTATCCTAAAGGTAGGATGTCCTAACTTGTGTCTTAACTACATAGGGTCTGACTTAGCTGGGACACTTTCGAGAATAGGGGCCCCTGGCACACAAGACCGAGACTCCCAGTACCAGGCATTCAGGTCTACTCATGTTTCTGCTCAGTGATTTTGATATCAAACTTTATTAATTTAAAATATGCATTATAAATTAGTATACTCAGCAATACTCCCTTGTATCACCCGGAGACCATTACAATACCAAAATGCACTTGTGCGTATGTGTAACTATGTTTCTATTCATAGAACGTTCCTGGGCTGCAAGTGGCATGGGTTCCAGGACACAGAATCAGGTCTGGACCACTATGAGTGGCAGGTGGGGACCACACCAGGAGAGAGTGACATTCTCTCATCACAACATGCTGCCCTTAAAGAGGTGGCATTTCTCACACTTAACGAAAGTCAGATGCTACCCATCGGAAACAGGATGTACATAACAGTTACAGCGTTCAACAAAGCAGGTATAAATGATGTAGTGATTCATTATTGATAATAATAATTTCAGCTTATAAACAATCCATTCTCTGCTTTAAAATCCATCTATTTTCTATAGCACCAGCAGTGATGAATATTTTTGTAAAGCACCAGCAGTGACTGAATGTATTAAATAATTATCAGATTCTTCAGGGAAGGCAGTTTCATACAATTCTACTAATGCTGTACTACCTGTCACCGCTGCAAATGTCTGTATCGATTAACAACTCCCACGGTTCCAACATAGTAAATTTAATTCTGTGTTATCTGTGTACACTGTTTTCTGCTACTTCTGCTGTTGCCGGTTGAAAACCACACTGAAACTGCACAACATTGCATGCCTCTGTCACCAAGTTATCTCCCCTTTTTAGTCATGTGACTTGCCCTAGATCACATGATCTCAATCTAAATAAAGCGAAAGCATTTGACGCAACACTACTTTTATAATGGCGTCATGTCACCATTACGAAATGAAGTTAGTCATTTTCGTTTCTCCACACTTGGTGATGAATTTGGTATTGTATGTTTGTATTGTATGTTGGTATTTTATGTGCTTATGACTCTAGGGGTGTTCACCACATCAACATCGAACGGCTTCATCATTGACAACAGCGCACCTGAAGTTGTGAAGGCCCCTGATCTTGTGGAAGGACATGGGTCCTTGGTTGCCATGACGCTGATCAGTCGGGCCACTGTGAAGGTCAGCTGGGAGATGAAGGACGAGGAGTCTTTCATAGAGAGCCAGTACATCTCAATTTCCTCTCATCAGCTAGGGGAGTTTAACTCTTCCTTGATGGAGGTGAGAGCCAACAGTTAGGTGTTAAGTGGGACTATGTAATATCAGTCCCTGAAAACAGGAAAGTAACAAAGATTCGATTTGTTTAAAGCATGAGTAACAACATAATGAACGCGTGTCATTAAGTAATGCTCTCTGTCTCAAGTATTTAACAACCTAACCCAGAAGACACGGTTTGTCTTCAGATGCCAGGACCTTTGAGAGAATATACTTTCACACAGCTGAATCTTCATGATGGAAGTCATTACATTGTGAAGGTTATATCATGCAACATGGCTGGTCTCTGTACACAGAGTCAGACTGGAAGCATCTTGGTCGACAGCTCCGTACCAACAACAGGTAAGTAAATATTTATCATAAACATTGAGGTGAACATAATTTCTCTTATATTATGATTTGTATTGTGTTTTAACGACATTAATCTCACAATCATATTCATCTAACTCGAGCTCACCTTTGCAGGGGTTCTTGCTGTACAAACGGACCATGCTGCCAAATTGTCAAGGAATCAGTTTGGCTGGATGACGTGGACAAGAAGCAGTCTTAGCCTTGCTTGGCTTGGGTTTGCTGATCTGCACTCTGGCATAGATCATTACATAACTACAGTTGGCTCCAGACCATTTGCTACAGATTTAGCACAGGTTTCGTCATTTGAGAAATTATGTTCTCGTCACGATATGGCTGCAATATTGCCGATGTCACGTTAAATAATAACTCACTCACTCACTCATTTGTGAAATTGTATCAAGAATGCCACCGTCCTAAAGTTTTCAATGTTTATAGTTCAGGGTTTAGTGGATCTGATTTCGATTTTATACGTCCATCATAATGTACAAGATGTACTTTATGTAATATCTCTATGGAATATATGTTTTGAAGGATGTAAATGGTGTTGTTTATCTGAATGTATTTATCGTGCACGACGTCCAGGACCCGTTGGCGAAGGAATATATGTGTTGAAGGATATTAACGGTATGGTTTATCTGAATCTATTTATCGTGCATGTATCCAGGACCCGTTGGTGAAGGTATACCACAACATCAGTGGAGTGGACCTGGAGGATGAGGGAATTGTGCAGACATTCAACATCAGTACCAAGGACTTGTCTTCTAGATCTTCTGTATTTGTCACCATGTGGGCAGTAAACGGTGTAAGTACAAGTTGACTTTCCTTCTTACCAGTTGTCATTTACATTTTCGTCCTACCTCCTTCCTTCCTTTCTTTGTTGTTCAATTCCTTTGGTTATTCAGGTAGGCCTCAAGAGCAGCCCCCTCCATTCCGAGCTGGTTCTGGGAGACGGGGGTGAGCTAGAGTTGGTGAGACGGTGCAGCTCCTACAACTGTGAGGGTCACTGTGTCTGTGCTGCCCAGGACAAGATGTGTAGCACCAGTCAAGGATGCAGATTCCTGGACAATGGTATGCTTATACATTGTAAGAGGGATGAGAACCACATCAGTAACTAACACCAGACTATGTCTTAATTGTGTCTCTCTACTTTACAGTTTAAACAAAGGTTTTAAGAGATATACATACATACATACATACATACATACATACATACATACATACATACATACATACATACATACATACATACATACAGACAGACATACATACATACATACATACATACGCTAAAATCAAATAAGCACTGCTCTAAAGCGCTTTGAGTTCCATATCTATACAGTGAGATTCAGTAGGCTTGGCTAAACAGATACGTTTTTAGTTTGGTTTGAAGAGTGAGAGTTCTTGTGAGGCCCGTATGTTGATTGGGAGTTTGTTCCATAAGAAAGGTGCTGCTGATGCAAAAGACCGTTCACCGTAAGACTTGGTTCTGGAGGCTGGTACCACCAGGAGATGGCTGTCGGCTGACCGCAGACTGCGCCGAGGTTGCTATGGCTGGATAAGACTTGAGATGTAGTCAGGAGCAAGACTGTGGAGAGATTGGAAAGTGACGAGCAGAATCTTGTAGATGGTTCGGTAGCGAACAGGTAGCCAATGAAGTCTCTTCAAGACAGGGGTGATGTGCTCGAACTTGCGAGTAAGAGTGACCACACGAACCGCTGCATTCTGGACCTGCTGCAGTTTCTTGACAATATGAGCTGGGAGACCATAGAGGAATGAGTTGCAGTAATCATGGCGAGATGTGATGTAGGCCTGAACTAATGCTGCTGCTGTTATCTCATCTAGATATCTTCGGATCTTTCCAATATTCTTGATATGGTAGTAGGACCGCCTGCAGATTGCTTTGACATGGGGCTTAAGGGGCATGTGGGAATCAAAGATCACTCCAAGGTTACGTGCTTCCATGGCCGGGCTGACAACGCAATCACCTATGGAGAACAGAAAACAGTGAAATGACGAAAACAGATATAGAATCAAGTCTGTCTCTCTCGTTCTCTCTCTACATCATGTCCAATCTATTTAATTCCAGGCATGGGGAATTCTTCACTGGCGGTCAGAGACACCACTGATCTGAAATCCCTTGAATCTCCTGTGTTGGGGAATGACGTGGACTTCTCACCCTTTGACTCATTCCTTGCAGCATCATGGACGGTAACCAACACAAAATCCACACAACCTGTGAGGTCAGTGGCACCGTCTTCTTGAATCCTGCCACATCCTTCACTTATGTTACATCTAACATAGATAAAGGCCAACAATGTTATTTGCAGGTACGAGTTCAGTGCCGGGCGTTCAAGTGGGACATACCCGACAGGGATATATACGGAAAGTATCGAACGAGTGTGGTTTGATGCAGGGTCTGTAATGTCTACAGTCATAACCCTACCCAAAGGTAAGAGGATAAATGGCGGGGTCGTTTTATGTTGTCTACCATTTACATTGTTCGTTGTAACTGCATGTTTAATGTCCTCATGTGCATCTTGTTTCAGTGACATTTAAGACGTTGGGAAGTACAAAAAAGACAAACTTAATGGATAACAACTTCTTTTGTTTCGTGAGTGCGACATTTCTATTTCAGATTCCTGGAATCTGTGTTAAAACATCACAGTTGTGAAATACAAGAAGTTGTTATCCATAAAGTTTGTCTATCCTCACATGTAATCATAGTTGTGAAGTTTGTATTGGAATGTTAACAGGGCGTGAGCTGACACCAGGACTCAGCTACAGTGTATTTGTGCGGGCATGGTATGACGAGAACACATACAACATCTACAAATCCGACGGCATCCTCATTGATATTACAGCACCAAGAACAACTTCACTGCAAGGAGTAGCGGTGGGTGACTTGCAGAAAACAACTATCGGAATCCATGCATATTCTATCGATCACTTGTGAACCATACGAAACGTACCAAGTACATCATGACAAGAAGAATATCTACACTTCATATGAACAAACTGACACATGTCTACAGTTGATTACAATTAGCCTATTCGATAGAGCCGTTTTGCTTCAAAGTCACCATCCGTTGCTTTTCTTTACAGATGAAAGAGCACATGGAATCTGGAGACAGGAAAGATATCGACTACCAGCATCACGTAGATAGGATATACCTGAGCTGGAGGAACGTACTGGACACACAGTCAAGACTCCTAACATACACGGCTTACACAAGTACTTCACCCGGCGGTATGTTTCTAAAACTTGTTAGGTTAGGACAACCAAGAATCTGTTGCAATGCTTTCGCTTAACTCTGAATACTCAGAAATACATTCAGGTTTATTGTTTCAGGTTTCAGCATACATGCGTCGTCTGACATGACTGCCACAAACTGCACAGTGTCTGGGTTGTCTCTGGAATCGGGAACCACATACTACTCCAATGTACTTGCATATAACAAAGCCGGATTGGTTGCTTGGACATTCTCAGATGGGGTGCAGATCGATGTCACGGCACCAGTAGCAGGGACTGTAGAAGATGGAGACGGTAGGCATAGGATTTCTGTACCATTCATCCATGAAAGAATATAGAATGTAACTTGTAAGTGGCATGTCATATTAAGTCGGTCAACATATTTTCGTCTTTCCTGTCACTGTCCAGGGTCCGGTGATGTTGACTACCAGTCCTCCCAGACACGGGTATCTGCATCCTGGTTTGGGTTTGCTGACAAGGATTCCACAATCAGCAAGTATTTCTGGTGTGTTGGTTCAACCAATGATACATCTGGATGTACCATCGTGGATTGGCAGGATGTGGGCCTGCATACATCAGCAAGAGCACGCCTGGAGTCACCACTTGTTGATGGTAGGAACATAGATAATGTATCTGGTCGGTTTTGAAATGATAATACAGTTTAACGTTGGGTTGAGTTACACGAGACGAAGTCATTATGCATTTAAAACAATCTTATTATGCTTTCATTCATAGAACAAAATTGCAAAAATTGTGATCTATTTGATGATCCATTATGTCAGCCACGTAGTTATCGTACTTATATATTATTCATTCGGGATGGATTGTGTTTGTTGTTCAGCAATATTCCAGCTAAATGACGGTTGCCTATGAATGGTCGAATCTGGACCAGACAATCCTGTGATCAACATCATGAGATTCGACGTCATTGGGACACGATGACATGTGTCAACCAAGACAGCGAGCCTGACCAGCTGATCCCTCTTTGGACATGCATGGATTGCTAAAGAACAATTCTAACCAGGACCATCACGGTTCATCCAGGCACGGATCGTTGTTATGAAATCGGAATACATCATGCACACGTTCTAAACTTAATCATAATAGTAGACTACCCCATGTCACTCATTTTGCACTGGAATATATGCTTGAGAGTCACTGATGTATCAACTTCATGAATGTCCTTCTCATGTCTATCAAAAAGGCAATGCTCAGTTGTTGCCCAAAGGATGCGACACTAAGGCTGAAGCCGCTGGAATACATAAAGTTGACTATAAACATTTCGCAGCAGACTTACTCATTGAAAGACAGCGTACTTCCAACGTCAACTGCCTCTGCATATCCGTGTGCATACATTTTGCTGGAATGAAAGTTTATTAGTCTATTAACTGGATATAACATGTCATGCCTTGCAAATGCATTTCAACCTCAATATATCTTTGACGTATTGCCTATACTGTCATCAATTCAGGAAAATACCACTGTTGGTTATTAATGACTTACATATTACTTACAGGAATACACATATGGGCGAAGGTTTATGCTGTAGACGTTGTTGGCCACACAACTACAGTGGTTGTATCAGATGGGGTCATCATTGATTCGTCGCCACCTGAAGTTAAGGACATTGCCTATCTAGGGGAAAATCTGGTGTCCAATCCCTCCTTTGAAGAAAGCATTAGCCATTCCACTGACTGTCATCCTGAACTACCTTCATGGAAGGCTGGGAGGCACTCCTGCATCAGGCTACTGACACCTGGTGTTCACCATGCCACACACGGGAAGACAGTAGTTTCTGTACGAGGCAGCATACAGCAGCATGTCATGAACCTTGGCGTTGGCAGAAGATATAAAGCCACCATCCATGTTGGGTATCCTTTGGACATTACTGTCAACCAGAAAGTAGTAGAAGGTTTCATATCGTTTGGGAATGACATCTTTACCTTCAGCCTCGATCCCCACCTATGTGTAGACTCGTGTTATGGTACAGATGGACGGGTCATCCTGTGGAGCCAGTATAGCTTCAGTTTCCTGGCAAAGAACGCCACAACACCGCTGAAAATTGGGACGTCCTCCAACAGCATGGAAATGGCCCTGGATCACGTGTTGTTGCAAAGAGTGGATCATGTAGGGAATGCAGATACTATGGAAACAGAAAGTAACGTCAATCTTCAAGCTGTCTTCCGGAAGCACTGGTCATCAGTTCACGTATCTTGGCACTTTGATGATGGAGAGTCTCCAATTGTAGAATACACAATGGCTGCGGGTGCGTTACACAGGAGAATATCATAACATTCTTTTACTTGTTCGCATAACCTCTTGAGTGTAATTCTAGAACATGCCCGACAATGTTCTAACAATCAATATTGTCATTGTTTTGTCAAATATACAGTAGAATTTCAATTTACAAATATCGCGTCAATTTTTATGTGGCACTGATACACATGCTAATACCCACATGTCTGGGGTTGAGAGTTAAAAAGGTCAAAGATGAAAAATGCCAATAAAAGCATGTCTCTTAAAGGTACTGTCCTCGGAGGAACTCAGGTGCAGGGCTTTAAGAGTGTTGGCCGACACGCACATGGAACTCTGTCAGGTCTGAGACTGTCCCACAAACAGAAACTGTTCCTGACCATCACTGCCAGGAATGCTGCTGGTCTCACAACCGTCTCCCGCCCTGACCCCATCACTGTCGACATGACCCCGCCGGTGTTTTCTCACATCAATGATGGAGACGGTAAAATGAAATACTTGTGGTTCTGTTAAAGTTGTTTAAGAAAACCAAATATTTGTCAGATTTAAAAAACGGCTTATTTATAATCAAACAGTCGTGCAATTACATTTTTTGTTTGTTGAACAAAACGTTTCTTACTCATTCTTCAAGTGAATGATACAGCATGGATATCTACATACATAAAGTACATAACAAGATAACTGTGGATAATAACATGAAGCAACTGTATTGGGCTGTAAGACTAATTCATTCTTCCTGTAGGGATTGACATTGACTACCAGGCTTTGGGCGATGTGTACGTCAACTGGGCAGTCGAGGATGCTGAGTCGAGTATTCTGCGCTGTACCTGGGCAATAGGTACAATGCATATATCATACGAACAAAACTGCATTTACTGACATCTTTCCACTAGTAGACATTGTATTTTAAGTGAATTGTTCTGCAAACAGCTACCATCTGTATTGTCTTTTGAGAGTGGTTAACAAACGTCCCTCTACAAGGCAAGCGGATATTCTTTGTTAATATGTTGACTGGTCTTTAGTTAACGCCACACTCAGTGGTATTCCAGCTTCATGTATTTGGCGGCGTGTAAATACTTGAGTCTGGACTAGAGAATCTAATGATTGAACTCATGAGCATCGATCAATCCCAGTGAGATACATCAAGTCAGCGAGCCTGACCATTCGACTCCATTAGTAAGCTTACAAGAAGTATAGGTGCAGTTTCTTTGGGACTGTTTGTTTCGAATCAACGTGTAGTACTATGTTCGGTTATTAACGTAGTGTGATTCACACTTGTTTTCATTTTGTACTAGTCAAAACTGTTTATGGTTGTCTACGGACTATGTTGACAGTAGTGTTTTACCTGTTCTGTTATTGTATTCATTACTTTTGTAAATTGGGTTTATGTTGATATTAATACCATGTTACAGCGATTTCTTACTGACAAAAAAATGTATTGCGTTTTATACCATGAATTCAATTCATGAATTCGCTCGTCACGCCGAAGGCCCGTGGTTCGATTCCCCACATGGGTACAATGTGTGAAGCCCATTTCTGGTGTCCCACGCCTCGATTGTGCTGGAATATTGCTAAAAGCGGCGTAAAACCATACTCACTCACTCACTTTCCAGGCAGGATACCGGGCAAAGGTGACATCAAGATGTTTCAGTTGGTTTCCCGAAATCAAACAACGGCTAACTTTGACATCACAAATGTCAATATTAGCCTTCCTCTGAAGATATTCACAACAGTTCGTTGTATCAACACCGTGGGTTTGATGTCGTCAGCCGTCTCCGATGGCGTAACTCTGACACATGGCCAACTGAAGCCTACAATGGCGGTCATCTTGGATGACAACGTCAGGTACTTCAATCAACGTGGTCAATGCCTTAAAAACAACACAGTTCGGATGCACTGGGCCCGGTATGACCTCCAGACAACTGTGGTAAGTTTAACTGTCTTGTATCTATTTGTGTGACAAGAATCTGACACATGCCATTTAAGTGGATGAAATTACCTGCCATTTACACGAAACCTGTGACGTGTGCATGTTGACTCTGAACTTCAGATTAAGGTAACAGATGAGTCCGGCACATATCAGACCAGAGTAGACACCGACTATGAGTTTGCCTCGTTCTGTGGGCTGCACTTCAACAACCTGGCCTCTTATCCAGTTGCAGTATCTCAAGACAACGTGCTTGGGACACGAGGGGAAACAACTCTTCTTAACCTTACCACCCATGGCAATCCTCCGACAATAACAGGTTAAATTGTTCTGTTGTATTTCAGCGTATTTACCATTCAGTGAAAATGTAATTGTCTTTGAAGATAAACATGTTTGTATTTAATTAATTCAAGGACTATCGATTATTATTAGTGCGTAATCAGATGGGAATACTTCATTGCTACTTTGAGACTGTTCATACTCCACATGGATAGAGAGATGATTCGTGATGCCCATTGTCACGGTACATGTGAAACATTGCTAAGACTCACTCATCATAAAAATTGTTACGTACTTAATATTTGTAGGATCTGCTGCGATAGCTGTGTCACGGAAAGGAAAGCACATCTCCCTAAACTGGGATGGGCTGTTCGTCTCTCCGTGGAAGGATCTTCAATATGAGCTTCACATTGGAACAGTCGTTGGAGGAGCAGACATCTTGGAGGAGGTTCTCATGAAAAGAGCGGAAACAAACCTGACCGTGATCCCCACCCATTCCATACCAAAATCTCTGTTTGCAGCTGTGACCGCAATAGACCCGTGTGGTTATAGTGCTCACTATCAGCAAGAAATAGAACTTTAAACATGTCCACACATGGATTGAATTAAACACATATATGTAAAGTATACACCGGCTTTATGAAACATATATGGACCGAAGTTTTCTCTTTTTAAGGATGCATAATAATTATTAGCAATATAGGTAATAATTATGTATACCCTGAGTTGTACTAAACATTTGTAGTTCTTGAAAGGCATTTTGAGTTGGACGAACATGAACACGGGTCACGTTTTTATCAACATTCACCCGATGGAGCAAGAATTAGCTCTAAAACGTCGTATAAAGAATAAAATAAAAAGAAGTTGTTTTCAATAAAAACGTGTCTTGTATTCAAAACTTTCTTACATTGTTTACAGTCATGTTAGAACAGTTTGGATGTTCATGCCAAACCATCATTCAGTAGTAGCCTGTTTTCGCATTATTGTCTTTTGGTAAAGAGTCTGATACTGTCATGTAGTGTTGATTAAGACGTTCATTGGGGGCATGCATTTGTTGTATATTAAACAGTGACCATGATGCATTATTGACTCAAATGAATGTTGTATTCACTTTAGCATTGCCGCTAACGCCACAGCTGAAACAGTAACTGTGCACTCTCTGGCCATATCCTTTACTGTTGTGTATATCAATTCTTCTTCAAAAGAATAATATCCTCGAGTTTAGTTAGAAATTATCACAATTATTTCGGGAAACTATTCGCCATATTAGTAGCTTGAGAAATCACGCTTCACCACTTACTGACGTTACGAAAAAACGTATATCAAACAAAAGAAGTTTATATGACCATACGCTATAATCAATCAGGTCATTTGTATTGTCTTCTGTAATTAAACTGTTTTCGATTTACATGCTAGTTTTATATTCATATCAGTGATATTCTAATTGGTTTTACTGTCCTTTGCAGACAAATCTTTTAAAATTAACTTTCATTGACTTTAAAATTATTACTTGTTTTTAGTCACGACATTACTGGAATATTGCCGATGTGACTTTAAATCTTAACTCACTCACTCAATCAATCATGTCATGCTGGCGTGCATAAGTGAGTTGGAGTGTAAGTGATTAAGGTTTTCGTGTAAAATCATTCTGACACATACCGACAGTTGTAATAATGCTAAACCCTGCATTAAGCCACACTCATGCATTTTGTTATGCTGCATGGAATTACTAATCCGAAAATAAGTAATAAACCAAGATGTACATTGCTTTTCATTTTGTGAATATTTCGTTTTAAACATGAGCGCACTTTCTGTATTGATTGTTTGTGCTTGAAATATTAAGACCCTTGACTGTTCGTGTCACTGACTACCAACTAAAAGAGCAAGTCAATGGAGGTTTTCTGTTTTCTGAGATTATTGAAAAAAAAATACCCAGCCAAAGATTTTGCCAATTTCAGCGCTAATATATGGAAACCCCTCTGTGACTACAAGAAGCATGTAGTGGAAAAACGATGATGCTTTCAGTTTCAGATTATTTCAGATGATGTAATTGTTAGAAGTAATTGATTGTAACGAAGGTACCATGTATCTCAGTTCAAGTTGAATATTCGTATGGTGGCAATGTTGTATAGTGACTTATGAATGTGCTACGATTGATAGGAAATAATACTTTTGAAATATTATAGTTTAGATATTGCAACAGTTGAAATAGTTTTGCAATAATTTGAACTGTTTTTGCGACACTCATTTTTTTACGATTAACCGTTAGTCAATCCTTCTACAGAAGTTGGTTGTAGATGCCTCACAACAGTATTTTCCTGAAAAATAACATTGTATGATCTAATAGTAGTGGTAACCAATTATAACAAGTGGTGATTATAACCATGCTCGGTATCAAAATAAGATAATAACAAAGAAGGCGATATCAATATTTACTGAGTTAAACTAAGTTCAGATTGGCACACATACAGTATTATCACATAGATATGATAATCAGTTTTATTGACAACTAATGTTCACGTAACACAGATACTATCAAAAGTATTTCGAAAAAACAACGGAATGAATCTGCAAAAAGGCAATATGTGTTATGAACAATTTCTAGCAATGGTTTCTACATCTTCACTAATCTCAATAAATGCAATTCTTATGGACATTGCAAATATGATGTTAAGTAAGTCTTCATCCATATACAAGTTATCAACAGCTTACATTACAAAATTACAGAAGCCACTAAGATACGGTATAAATAACAGTAAATTTAACACCTTTGTAAATTTTGCATATATGTGTTATCGTTCTTAATTAACTATATTTAGTGTACTAATTGATTTGCAAGTCATATAAAATGACTCAAAACATGGATAATAATAATATTAATAATAACTCAAAGTCACACACTCGGAATATTAGCATGTGACGTAAATGATCGAATACTGAAACTGGAAATGTTATAGTTCACATAAAGACCTAATATGAGTTACAAAAGACACCTTGTGTTTATTAGACATCTAAATTGCAAACACTGCACAATTCCACACTGTTGATACTGTTGCTTCAATCAACAACTCTAGGAATTGTTTTATCTGAGCTCGACAGGGTGGAGTAGTTCGTTTTCCTGTGAGGCATCCTTGCGTGTCCTGGACCCATGAACAAGGCAGGCGTGCTTCTGCCATTCTCTTGAAAACCAGCAGGTGTGTCGTCCTTTACTTGCTCCGTGGTGGACGCCCACCCGGAAGTCGTCTGCTCATTTACTTGCTCCGTAATGGAGGCTGACCCGGAAGTCGTCTGCTCTTTTTCTTGTTCCATGGTGGAGGCCGACCAGGAAGTCGTCTGCTCCTTAACATGTTCCGTGGTGGAGGCCGACCCGGAAGTCGTCTGCTCCTTTACATGTTCCGTTGTGGAGGCCGACCCGGAAGTCGTCTGCTCCGTGTCTGCCCCACCATCACTGTGTTGTTCTACTGATGTGCACCTTGCTAGGTATACAGGATTCGTCTGTGTATCTGGAGCGGTGTCTGGCAAATTCCTTCAAACAAAAATGTACATCATAAACGTCGAGGCCACAAAAACGCACTTTCATATATGTATTGAGTTACACAAATGTGAACTATACAACATGTTAAAACAAAATGTAATCAAGCGATGACTGTTAGACCTGCCTGATTTGGCAGAGAACCTAATCATGAGTTACCATGCCTGTTGTGATAATGTTAAAGAAAAGGGCAAGATAACTCGTGTTTAAATATATGTTATGAAGTCACATTGAATAAACTTTTTAGTTGTTATGGGTCACAAAAGTTTAAAGAGTGTGGATTTGAACTCACACCCTGAACTTAGGCTATGTATTTTCGCCTGTTGAGAGTGGGCTGGGGAGTTGCCTACCCTTTGTTCGTTTAGTTTCCCGTGTTTTCGGTGGAAGACGGCGTGACTCAAGTAATTCCTAAATGCTAGTGGTGTGGCGTGGCTTGGGCTAGATTTCTCCGGAAGTGTATACTAGGTATATAAGGAATTGTTGCTAAGATGTATGGGGAAACGACTTTGAATTTACGTTCATCTTTCTGCCAACATTGACGTTTCAAGACCAACCATTAGGTCTCGTATACATTGAACATTCGTCAGCTGTCAACTTCTTCAATCAATACATCTACAAGGATCGTAACTGTGGTGACTATAGACATTGAGTTCATATTTTCGATTTGTGACCCAATCGTATTGCAGTAGAAATCTGTACAGTCATTCATTTGTAAACTTGTTTATCTTTTATTCAACATATAATTGAATATTATAGACTCGGTTGTGTTATATTTTGTTGGTATAAAGGGGACTAAAAAGCCTTTTATCACAGCAATTTCTAAACCGTAACAAATATTACTTACCAGACCTTTGATCGGCGTCTAACTTGTTTGTACTTGCGACTTATGTAAAAGGCAACACCTAGGCAGGGCAGAAAAATGCAGACAAGTATGGCAAGAATCTTCGGGATGTTCAGGACACACTCATAGGTCGCCAGTTTGTCTTCACAGTCATACAGAAGGGAGCAGGTGGCCTTCAGACATTCGTTGATTTCCTTCTCGCATAACTGTCCTTCGTAACCAGCTACACATTCACAGTGATAGGCTTGAAAGCTGCTTTCTCTGCCTGGATGTTCACATGGTAAAGACGGGTTTCTTGGAGCACAGCTACCATGGTAACATGGGCTAATGAGGACAAACACGTGGATTGACAGGGCGTGACTGTAGCTCTTCAGCTTATCAACAGCGAGTAGTGAGAACTGGATGCTCCCGTGGAATTCCTTGAGGGTCTTCAGCTTCAAGTCATGTTTGGTGATAGTGTTCCCTGGGTAGATCATGGACATGTTTCTGTATGTCTCTCCATCTTCCCCAGCCGCATCAACCTGTGTAAGTGTAAAGTTGGCTGCCAGACCACTTACTTCCTTTTGAAGGATTGTCAACTCGTCAGGGTCATCAACATCTGCGACCCAAAACGAACCCAGAGAGTGATCCGTTAGATTGCCTTCAACAGATACCTTGTGAATACTTTCAACAAATGATGGTATTGGCGACTGGGTGTTCCTCTGGTAGAAAGTGACAGGTGGATCATTAACATCTGACACGTTGATGTGTATTCTCTTGGTAAGTGTAGCTGGTTGTATTCCCAGATCATGTATGAATACCTCGGTTGCATTTACGAGAATACTATCATAGCCATTAAAATCCTTCTCTGGTTGGTAGGATAGCATCCCATCTGTTGTGAGGTTGGCTTCACCGTGCTGAGGATACTCTTCTACAGTAAATGTTAAATTGTCATGCTGTAGATCGTGGTACTTGATGACTTGCTTCACAAAGCTGTCCTCGACACATTGGATAACACTGGTGTCAATGATGGGAGGTGTATTGTTCATATGTTTAGACACAAGTGCTCCGGAAAACATTCTTGGACTCGAGAAAGGAAGCGTTGCCCTCTTCTCACGTGTATTAGACTTTGTCAAGCTTCTCTTAAATACTAAATTGCAGATCTGAAAACAAAGTTACATGTTCAGCACTATTACTTGATCGGTATTGGTGATTTATATCTGTCACTAAGCAATACCATAATATACTCAGTCAAAACATTAAGGGAACACCAGATCCTTTGTGAACATTTGTGTTATTGGTGCATGTTTGCAAAGCTAATTTAGTTGGTTTTGATGATGATATCACTGATTGTTCAGTAACGGGTATGTCCTCCATGATTATCACCAACAGCTGGCATCTCCGAGGCATCAGATTCCGGATGTTACGGATTGGAATTTGGCGCCATTCGTCCTGTAGTGCATGAAACTGTTTTGGGGGCATTTCAGCACGTTGTCTTTTCGACCCAAAATGTCCCATAAATGTTCTATTGGTCCTAGTCTGGGTGGCTAGGGTATAACTCTGATGTTGTGTCTGTTCAAAAATCCCATCGAGAATCTGACAACTTGGGGACTGGCATTGTCTTGTGGAACTCAAATCGTTTACCTCCTGTTGGAAAATCGGGTGTGCAACAGGATCCAAGACATCATTAACGTAACGTTGTGCGTTACTTCTTGCGTCAAGACGAACCAGTGGTGTCCTTCGGGCGTACGATATACCTCCCCAGACCATTACAGGTCCACAACACATCTGTCAGTTTCTTGAGTAGTAACGTCACTGAATCGTTCATTTTGTCGTCTCCAAACACGCGTACGACCGTCACCAAACTGTATGCAGAGTCTGTGTAACGCCATTGTCGTTGAGTTTGAACTCTGTGCTGATTTGTCCAGTTTTCCCGAAGCAGTCGATGATTTCGTGAAAGGCAAATAATGTTCAATGGACGTTGACTTTTTAAACCGGCTTCTTTCAATCGATTGCGGGCGGTTTCGCCAGCGATCCAGTTGTTATTCGGAATTCAGTGTTAAACTGGACAGATGTTTTAAAGCGATCCCGCAAACATGCCAGCCTCCGCCTTCTGTCAGTTTGTCGCTTCGGCAACGCCCTCTTCTCACTTTGGGACTCTGGGTCACATTGAACTTGGTGACCAGACGTGAAATGACACTGACTGATTTGCCAAAGTGTCTGGTAACTTCACTTCTCGATGATCCGATATTAATCATCCCAATCGCTTGGCAACGTTGATTTTCAGAGAGGTACTGCGTTGTAAACTAATCGAAATGTGACAGCAGGCACAAATGCGATGTCCCTTATACTCACCTAAGAGCCATTTGCCATGTTTTGCACATGCATGTTGTGTTGTTGCGAATTGTTCTCAGTCAGAAATAAGTATGTACACAGACATTTCTGGTCATTTCGTCAGACCTACTTTTTCACCAGTCTCAAATTTGAGTGAGGTGTTCCCTTAATGTTTTGACTGAGTATATAGTAATATAAGGAGAACAGTAATCGTGCATAGCCATGTCACACGAGTTATCACTAGCACTAGTGTCCGAAAAATTGATGTACATTGTTAAAGATAGCTTGGTACAGAGAAATTCACATGTGCAAATATCGAACAGCATGTGGAATCCGGATCTCCCGAATAATCTATGACTTGTCCAATTTCAACACAGCCGAAAATGCAGTAAGTTCAGAAAAAAGACGATTCACAATCATCGGGACAGCGGGGGCCTCCGATCGCAATCCCTGGATTCAGCTGTGCCGGCACTTACAAAAACCTCCCGATTAAAACAGCCTTTGTTGTTAACAATGACGTAATAATTGTCGTAGTTATGTTCCCTAGGGCAACGACATGTTTGTGAATACTGAAAATAGCACTAACCCAACATTTCAACAAATTATTCATATATCCATAAGCAACCCGATCGTATAGCATCTAATCCGTCTGGGGGCGGTGGGGTAGCCTGGTGGTTAAAGCGTTCGCTCGTCACGCCGAAGACCCGAGTTCGATTCCCCACATGGGTATAATGTACGAAGCCCATTTTTCTGGTGTCCCCCGCCGTGATATCGCTGGAATATTGCTAAAAGCGGCGTAAAACCCAACTCACTCTCTCACTCTAATCCGTCTGCATTATCCTACCTATAGTCCGTTTGGCTCAAAAGCGGACCGATGAATTGCAATCAAACTCGAAAACTAATAAACATAACATACTCAATGAAACGCTGATCATAATCAAAACATCATACCCACTCTGTGAGGTTTTTGCAGAATTTTTGTCCTAAAAATTAAAAAGTTGTTTAACAAACTATCATTAAAATATTGACACAGTTCACTATTTGTTACGAGGGAGGAGTGCAGAGAAAGGGACAGCCAGGTGTTCGAGAACGGATAGAGACGGCACAGCACAGGTTAATGAATAAATAACTTTGTCTGTGAACGTGCTTCTCGAACACCCGGCTGTCCCTTTCTCTACACTCCTCCCTCGTAACAAATAGTGAACTGTGTCAATATTTTAATAATAGTTTGTTAAACAACTTTTTTATTTTATTGTATTTTATGTTTATTAGTTTTCGAGTTAGATTGCAATTCATCGGTCCGCTGTTGAGCCAAACGGACTATAGACATCTGCCAGTATGGTATGCAATGCGTTTTCATACTTCTTGTGTTTGGTCTTTTGGGTAAGCAACTTGTGTCTTTCGTTGCATATAATATGCACGTTCTAAAATGTAACAAGTGTTTGCCACTGATATGACAATGTCCCCCGCCGCTAAAGAATGGAATATTTATAACACATTTACTACTTTGTTTTTTGGTCACATACAAGATGCCTGAAATGACTGGTGTCTGCATAATCACCTAATGTAGGCTGTCGACATACTTGAAGACACTGGGTGCAATGTTTTATGAGATATCGCGTTAACAAGAGTTTGAAAAGTGTTCAAAGTGTCGTGGTGACCTTGACAATAAGGTTAAGGTCACCATAATTGACTGGTGTCTGTGTAATCCACCAATGTAGGCTGTCACCACATTTGAAGGCATTGGTACAACAGATCATGATATATCGCGTTAACACGAATTTGAAAAGTGTTAAAAGTGTCGTGGTGACCTTGAAAATAAGGTTAAGGTCAGCGTAATCGACTGGTGTCTGAGTTATCCCCCAATGTAGGATGTCACGAAATTTGAAGACTTTGGGTACAACGGATCATGATATATCGCGTTAACAAGAGTTTGAAAAGTGTTCAAAGCGTCGTGGTGACCTTGAAAATAAGGTTAAGGTCACCAACATCGACTGGTATCTGAGTAATCCCCCAATGTAAGGTGCCACGAAATTTGAAGACATTGGGTACAACAGTTCATGAGATATCGCGCTAACAAGAATTGGGACGTACATACGTACGGACGCCGCTGAATACATAGTCACCCGTTTCGCGATGCGGCGGACAATTAAGCAAATGAGGCATGTAAATATAGAAATTGGAGCAGATGATAATTGACCCTCGACAGAAAATAGAAAATACTATAAGCTATTGAACAATGTTCTCTATTTCAATAAAGACTTACAGGGATTTCATGTAATCCCTGAGCTAATATTTCCGTAATTTCATGAAATCCCTTGAAATTTTAGGGAATACATGAAATCCCTGGGGGTCACAGTAATTTCACGAAATCACTGACTCTTTTAGGGATTACGTAAAATCCCTGGTTTCACACATTCCCTGTAACATATATACCTGTATTGCATGAGGATCACTCGTTGATGCGTCGTTCCTCAAAGAGGCAGCACCACAGATTTCACTGACATGGCGCCAGACTTTGTCACCTGTGTGCAAAACCGAAACGCGATTAGTATAATAATGAACAGTTGGTTTCCTTTAAAAAGGGGGCGGAATTTCATGATAGAGACCCAGTAAAATGAGTGAAGCTCACGTTTGGTGTCCCCAGCCCTGACAAGATTTGCATATAGTAAAATGTGGCTTAAAACTATACCCAATCGTTCCTTTCAAAATGCGAAACAACGCAGATATGCTTAAAAGGTTTTATACAGTCGTATTTGTACCTGAGTCCCATAGAATAATCGCTGATTCCTGGTGTTCATCAGCTGGGGATGCTGGCAAATCAACGTTGATGTCTTCTGTTAGTTGTACATTGCTGATCGGCGACAGGTAGAATGCAGGACTAACAAAATTGTAGACTCTGAACAAACAAATTAAATGAACATGCTTAAAATCTAAATAATGATTATTTGCTACACTATGTCATACTTCGGATGTGAACATTTTTGTAGAAGTGGTGTTGATATCCCATGATTCATGTGAACAGAAATACAATTCATTGATAATTCTGATATGTGCACACGCACTTGCTTCAGAGACAAACAAACAATACTTCACCTTCCAGTAAGAAACCGGGACAGCTGTGTCGAGGTGATGTTGGGGCTGACGATGTAAGGGGAATAATCCACGGCGGCTGGAGCACCGTAGGCCATGTGTTGATCGGTCTTGCTCAGTACACCGACCGTTAGGGCGCCACTGGAAACTACACAACAGTATGGGTACATTGCACATATTGCAGAAAATACAGAAAAAGACACCGTGATTGTCTCGAAATTTAAGTCGGGTCAAACCATGTTAATATATATAATAGCAGCTGTAGAGTTTGTGAGTGAGCGCGTTAATATATAACGTCACATCGGCAATATTTCAGCCATATCATGACGAGTACATATTTTACATTGAAATGGAATATGTGTATATCATAAAAACCTGTCATCGAAGGACAGTAAAACAACTAGAATATCACAATTGAATTAAAACTAGTGTGGAAAGTTAAAATTGATAGCACTATAAGGACAATCCAAGATGAAAACAGGCTATAGATCGCCAACAACTGAAGGTAGATCACCATACTAGGGACTGTAGAGTTTGTGCTTGGCAGAACTGATGCTACTGTCTAATGTTCTGATCACCTTACCTTCCACTAATATTGTGCAAACAGAACGATTGTGCTTTCCCAATGGCTCGGAAATAACATCGCCGTCAA